AACTGCTTGTAGAACTGGGGCTGTCAGCAGCAGGCCATTTTAAAATAGAATCTAATTCAGCTCAGTTGTTTTACCAAGAAGTGTTTCAGAGAGAAAGGGAAAAAAGAGGTGAATTTGGATCTGTAAAGGGCAAGACTTCATTAGACCTGATGGATCTTTAGTTCTGTGTTCCTTACACCAAGGCAAGGGGGGTGAGGGAGGCTTAACAAGAGCAGAGTAAAGGAAGAGAGTTATTCACTGGTTTCCACTTCATGTGGCAGTAATTCAGCATGAAAAGAGCCAAATGATTTGGAAGTCTACATTGACTGTACTTGAAGAATTAGGAGCATCTTTAGTGTCAAGTTACAGCACATCTAAAGAAAAAAAACCATCTCCAAAGCTTTTTTTGAACACTCTGGCCTCATTTTGGGCTTCTCCTGTGGCTTAAACTGGAACTTACATTATGATACATTAGTCAAATGCCTCCCCTAGTTTTGAAGCCTCAAGTTGGATGGATATTCTCTTTTCTTTCATATGGCATTTGCAGAATGAAAAGAAGAAGAATCAAAGGATTAAAAACACCAGAACAGACCTGCTTGGCTCTCATCAGTCTCCTTTCAGGCACTGAGAGGCAGAAGGAGTGCAGCAAACCAGAACTGCTGTTTGCACTGATGAGACAAGTACCAGCTTTGGTCCAGTAAGGAAATACACAGTTACTGTCATTGTCACTTCCTCAGTGCCCAGCACTCCTCCTTCCTGCAGGAACATCTGGCCTGGGTGCTCAGGCTGAGAATAATCCATGGTTTCACTCCAGTCAGGAGGGTCCTGTGCCCTGAGTGCTCTGGGGCTCCATCCATCCATCCATCGCCTCTGACCCTGCACAGCTCAGCCACAGGAGTCACACAGAGCCCAGCCCAGCACAACCTGTGCAGCACAGCATGGCAGCACATCCTGCCCACCCAAACCTCCCTGGCAGCACCTTCTGGTTGGATCTGAGCCCCAAAAAAACCTGTCCATCTTCTGGACTCTTACCCCACCCCAGGACACACCTCAAGTGCCTGCTTTGACACCTCAAGGAATGACAAAGACATTGCTCTCAGAGGTTCATCACCCTGAGCTGATATTTTCTAATCCCCTCACTCTTCTCCACTATTGTAGATTTTTCTCTGCTGGACCTGCAGGAGCTTAAATGACACTTATATGCATCTTTTACAAGGAATGTAGTGTTCTCCTGGTTTTGTACTAAGGGCTCACAGAATTCCTCCCCTGCTTGAATTTACCTAAGAACTGTTCAATACATCAAGAGCACAAAGACCTCTAATTCTCACAAATAAAGCTGTCCTCTTGTCTCTGCTTTCACTGGCATTTTGTGGTAGCAAATACTTTTTCCAGTTTCAAATCTTCAATTCAAATGTCTCCTATAATTTCAAAGTACTCTTGTCACAGCTCTGGATGCCCCATTCTCCTAGTCAGGTCACTTTGGATATTCCCTTTACTCATGATGGGATGTGATATCAAATGATCCTTTGGGGCTCAGGGTTCCTTGAAGGAATGCACTTCATTTACAGTTCCAGCTGCCTTGGAGTCACAAAACCATGTGCTCCTGCTCTGCTTGTCCTCCAGGTTCCCATTTTGGGAGGCTAACACACTTAAACTGCAGTTCCCAGTACCTTAGATTACAAAGAAGCAGATTCTACATTTCTCCCCCTCTTCCATAACATCTTGGAAAACTCTTTCTTCTGTCAAAAAAAAGGAACCAGCCTGACTGACCCTGATAGTTTTTCTTCCAGGAGAGACACTGAGCAGGAGCTAAAGTTCCTTCTATTCCTTCTGTAGTGAGACAAGGCTGTTGCTGGTTTTGAAAACTTGTGGCAGCATGTGAGCCCCAGCAGCAAAGTTGTGCCAGCTGGGGATGGGACCCTTTGGTCTGTTCTAATCACTGCTCTGTTTCCTCTCAGCTCCTGCCCCTCCTTTGGCTTTGCTCTCATTTTTACTCCCCTCCTCTAAATGGAAAATTTAAAATCTAAGACTGAGGCATCTGACCCAGGGCTCACCTCCAGGTGTGCCACAATGTGCCTGCTCATCACAGGGGCTGCCTTGGCTCCAGAGGGCAGAGCTTTGGGCTTTGATCGCTCCACATGTATTTTCTCCTCATAATAAACTGAAAATTACTATCATCCCTTTTGGGTCTCCAACAGATCATTTACCCTTTATTTCTTCAGTAAGGTGTTCAATGAATGTTGTTGTAAAAAGCTACACAGTCTAATGCAGGTTTCAACCAAACTTCAGAAACAGTAAAAATGAATTGTCTCTACACAAGTAAATTAGCTGCCAGTGCTCTGAGATCAAGACAGTGACATCCAGATCCTGCAGAATTTAGGATTTGCTTCAGAAGTTTCTAAAAGGATAGCCCAAAGGTGACTCTCTGTAGGTCTACATAATGTACATACCCCTCCTTTGGAAATCCCTCCTGACTAAACACAGGGAGGGGAATACTCTCTGTTGCTTCTGGGTAACACAGAAAACATTCACATGGTCACTTTTCAAACTTATTCTGCAAAAGACACCATGACTAATTCCAGAATATTAGAAATACTGGACTAGGCCAGTGGTGCACCTAGACCAGTGTTCTATCTCCACCAATGGAGAAATTACCTCTCAGCTCAGCCCTTTATTTCCTGTATCTTAGCCAGTTTTCAGTAAAATAACCTGCCCACTAACATTTTTGCAATGCAGTTTCTTCAACAGCCTTTTGTGTGTAATGTTCAAAAAGGTCTTTTGAAAATTGAAATACTGATGTGCACATGCTTATTGACACCTCACTGGACTGTAGCAAGTCAGGGGCAAGACTTTTCCAGAAACTCTTGCCCACTGCCCTCACTGTTCTGTTTATCCCAGGATCCACTCTAAAGCTCTTTTAAGATTTCATTAAGTCACCATTTGAGTAACCTCAGAGAGAAGCACTCAGGAGGAGTCTGAAATCCCTCATGTTCTTCAGGCATAGTTCACCTCTGGAATGCCACTGCTACAGTGAGAATGGTCTCTGGGCATCAGTACAGCCTGCAGCATCCTGAGGGCTCAGTCCATTTGGTGGCACAATGGGTGACAAAAAGCTTGCAGCTGCCCTTAGATATATGATATAAACACAACATTTTGTACCTTCAGTGTTGCCACAAATCAGCCCCTTCTGCAAAACCTTTTAAATTTTTTTTCCCATGGTAAGATTCTTTAGAATGAACACACAGAGCCTTTAAAAGATTAAGGTGCTTGGCTCCCAGTGATCCCTTTGCTTACAGAGAGAGCTGGGGCTGCAGCCTGAGGGATCTACAGGATCCAGGACAAATAAACAAACCAGACAATTCAGACAACAGCAGCAAGGACTAATGACCAAGGGGCTCAGTTTGTGTTAAGATGCCTTGAGCTGGAGTCCCAGCCCTGGCAGGCTGCAGGACCTTTGAAAGCCTTTCTGTATCCACTGCAGTCTGTAATTATCCTGTCTGTTTAGATTGTGATCTCCTGGTGTCAGTGACTGACATGACACATTTGTACAGTGCCAGTAAAACAGGAGTCACAGCGCAGCCCAGGTTAGGACCCTGAGGTGCTGTTTTAGTAACAACATCCCTCTGCTCCTCTGGCATCACAGTAATCCACAGCTACATTATAATATCCACCTGCTTTGGGCCATCTGGTGTGCATAAATGTCCCTGTGTCTTTTTACATGTAAATAGAACTCTTTGAAGACTCTTCTTATTGTTACCAGTCACTGCTTGTTAAGTGCTGTCGGAGTTTTCTGCCCCACAGGAGAGAGGGGTGGATGCAAGGACACTCATCCCAGCAGAGCAGCAAACAGACAGACAGACAGAGGGTGAGCCAGGAGCTGGCTCCCCTTCAGTGTCCCCAGGAGGGGACTGCCCTGGAGCTGCTGGAGGTTCCAGAGCATGGGAAAGGGGACAGGATGTCCATTCTGTTATCAGCTGTGCTTTGGAGTGTGGAGGGAAGCTGCAGGTTCAGGAAGCACAACACAGGACACTGTGCTGACCAAGGATGCAGATATAAAGACAGGAGAGTGTGAAGCCAACAAAAGGAACAAGAGGAGGGACAGAACAAAATCATAGCTGCTCTCTAGGGACAAAACAGATCAAAGCTCCTGAAGCTAAAAAAAAATTAAAAATTATATGAAAGGGATTAAATGCATAGAAAGTTTCAAAATTGGGAAGGAGGGAGTCTTTGGTTGTCACATACCTTCTAATGTCAGAAAATGTAAGAAGATCTCCACTTTTTCTGCTATTGCAATGACATCTGCCTTCCTGTGTCAACAGCCCTGAACTGCAGAGCTGGAGTGTGACAGAACTGAGATTCTGTAACAGATCTGCTCTGCTAAACAGGGATTACCTTTGCATAAGATTTGTATGAAGCTGAACAGGGCCTTTAGACCCAATTTCAGAACAATTCACCCTCCTCACCCCCAGTGCAGGCTGAAGCACTGTGCACCCCATTGAAGAACGCTGCAGTCTGAGAGAGGGAATATACCTTGATTTAATTAACCCACTGGTGCTTCTGTCTTTTAGATTCAAATGCCAACATCACCCCTTACCTGCCAGTCCCATTTCAACTCCCTTTGTCTGAAGAAATTGAACTGAGAGAGAATCATAACAAAACAAGGTGATTTAGCCTCCTAGAACAAATACAGTTCCTTCTGCACAAGTGTTGAGGGGTAAAACTTTCTTACTTCCAAAGTCTTCTGAGTCCTGAAATTCTTTTCTTCTGTGTTGCATTTTGAAGTTGCTCCCCATGAATATCATTGTCAGACAATAGTAACTCTCACCTACTGACTGTCAGGAGTTCTCACAGGATGACATTTAAGACTCAGAGCTTGAAAGCTAATCTCTCTTCTCAAAAGTTATATTTCCCAGCAAATATTTGGATGTATACTAGACAAATAAAGCGAATGCAGGCATTTCTTGTAACTGTTCAACCAAAAAGATAAAAATGGCATAAGAATGGGAATTAATTTGACAAAATTGTGTCAGTTTAAGTCTGGAGTTCCATGTAACTGCAATTCTTTAGGAAAACAATAATAGTCTGAATTGAAGTTTTCTTCTGCAAATACAATACTGTTTACGTTGTTGTCTGCTGAATCCAGAGTTTCTATGAATGGTGCACCAAATCCTTCAGCATGCTAGCATGGCTCCTAGTGAGGAAAATATCCACACTGCCATGAGAGGCGTGATGGCTGCATTCAGAGCATCAAATCATCTTAGCCCAGGCTGGCTACAGCTCAGTGCTCGTGTGACAGGATGGATTTGAGTGTGCTCAGCAGCCCAGAGGAGCTGGGCTGAATTTCCCTCTGTGACAGCTTCCCTGGCACCTGCTCCAGAGGCAGCTAAGGTGAGCTGGAGGGTAAACTGAAACCCCTCACTGCACTAGGAATACATCTCAAGTCCTTGACAGTGTCTTAGGAATATTTTTGCCATCTCTTTTCTTAGATATTGATATTGTTATTTTTTAGAACTATGCGATCGCACTTGAAATTAAGCCTAAGTTTTGAATGGCAACAAGAGACCTCAAGTTGGAAAGCCTCAGATTTGCACACCAGCTGATGACCAGACACTTTATTTCACTTGTTCCTCTTGCTATGGGTCACCCCTTTGGCCTAATCAGTCAGATTACAGGAGAAACATTTTCTGTAGCTGTGCCCCTATGCCTGAGAGTGTGAGATGTGACTACAGATCTCTGTGAGAGCTTGATGCAAAAATGAAGAACCCACCCTCTGTTTTACTGCTCCCACACAATGGTTGGTGTTAGTTCTGCTCCTGTAACCACTGCTGCACAAGGATCGTTTTTCTTGCTCCCATATTCTGTTCAAACCCCAAAACATGGTCCTGAAGCCTGGCTCAGGGAGGCTCTTTCTGTGTGCAATGACATTCAGCAGGAATTTTTCCAAGAGCTCTCCAAAGGGCAGGGCAGTTGCACAGAATCTGCAAGAAAGCTTTCCCATTCTTGAACTTTCCAAAGCATTTCTTTACTGGGCATGAAATCCAGAGGTTGATGATAAAACCATGAAATAAATCCAAGTTTTGAGGAGCTATTTAGCAGCTGAGATTTAAAATTGGGCCAGATCTCCCTTGCTTATATCCATGATGTGTAGGTTTAGCCAACTCATAGAACTCTCAATCAGATGATCTCTTTTGTCCCACCTTAACTGAGAAAAAAAACATCTCAATGTTGACTTTGGACTTTCCCCAACCTCTTCCATACCTAATCCTCTTCAGTCAAAATAGCCTGAATCTGGCAAGGAGATCTGGAAGGAAGTAAAGGTCCTCTTTTGTCCAGATTTTCTCTTTTGTCTCTGCACATTATTTTGTTAAAGTAGAACAGAGAAGAAGAAAAATTCAAGAAATACAAGAGATGATTCTTTAGACTAATAGATAGCTTTCCAGAGAAAACGTAGGCATTCTCTTTAAAAATATTGTTATCTCTTACAAGATGTCCCTCCTGTAAGAATGAAAACAGATAATGTGTCAATGTTCCCATGTGTTACACCCTCATTTCTCTTTTAGAAGTTATTATCCCAAAGCTACAAAATTTCAAGGGATTTTTAGGCAGCTCTGGATATACGTTCTTAAACAGAAAAAAGGTCACTCAATGTTTATGATTGTCTCTCCCCCATATTCAAAGTACTAGTAAAGGCTGTTTTCTTGTGGTTACTCTCAAGTAACGGAAGAAAAGCCTGATGAGAATATAAGTGCCTGAACTGAAGCTATGCAGATTTACCTCCTATTTCCCTGGATTACTGTGGATATCCATTACTTAACTATCATACATGAAACATCCAGTCATTTCTGTGTTCTGACAGGTATTTCTGATCTTAACGGGCAAGACTCAGTATCATACAGGTCAATACACACAAAAGCAGCCTGGCTGCACCTGGAAACTCACCTATGCCTTATTCAGATACACCCCACTGCAACAGGCACCACTGCAAGGTTTCTGTGCCCTGCTCATCAATCTAAACATTTTTCTGCCTCAGTCCTGTTTGCAGCAGACAGATGGAATATTAAGACATTGCTGCATTTCAGAGGACACCCCTGCAGAGCTGTCTCAGCAAAGCCAGAGCCTGGCTGGCTCTGAGCCTGGGCTCCCCTGGGTGCTCCCCTCTCCAGGGCAGCGTGCCCTGCACTTGCTCTGCGCGTAAATCAAGCAAAGCACATGCAGTTCATCAAACCAACTTTTTACAGCTTCAGAAATAATGGAAAGGAAGCATAAAATTAATGCTAGCAGCTGGAAGATAGCTGCAGAAGAGGGTGTTTCTACTCTAAGTCTCTAGTAACATCACTGGATGTTGTGCTCCTGAAAATTGTGGGGTTTGGGTCCAGAAAGTGCCTTCCCCTTGATCCCAACACTGCTCAGCCTCCCTGAGTGACTATCACTCTGTTAGGGCTTCTAGATCCTCGGAACAAACCGAGTTAAATAATTGACACTTTCCTTTGTTTGGTTCAGCATACAGCTCTTGCCAGTGTTCAGACACTAGAGACCACAAAGCAGCCACTATAAATTTCCAAAATGCACTGTGCTGGTTTAGACTTTCCTCTCTGATGCTTTTCCCAGTATTAACTCTCTATCTTCTCAAAATTACACATTGTCAAATTAAGCACAGTTGGTGGCACATTTATTATTGTTAAGTAAAGCCAATGAAAGAACATTCATTTCTTATAGAACAACAAGGATTTTTACAGAATTCCTGTCTTGGTTCTGCACTTTTAGAAAAATCCACTTTTTCTTAATCTCTTAAACTTGGGCTAAGCAGAGTTTTGAGGTTTGCAGAGCTGTTCTCCAGCTGAGTGTTTCCTTTTAGATATGCACACCTCCTTGTTGGACATTCATTATCAAACCTTGTGTTTGCCTTTTATCTACAAGTCCTCTTCAGTGTTCAGCATAAACTACATGGACACCTTGCAGATTGACATTTCTTCATTCATGCTTTACCTTAAACAGCATGCGAAGACATCAAAGAAGAGGAGCCGACTTTGATGTTACAAAATGAAAAACGCCTCATGATTTGCCAAGACCAGGGGAACTTGTAGCTTGCTCTTTTCTTTTCCGCTTAAAGAAATACTACTGCTTTCCCCATGGATACGTGAAAATCTTTGCCATTTTCACCAAACCTGTATAAACATTTTGTTCCCAGTAAGAAAACAAGCTAGATCTCATTGCAGTGTGTTAAAATTGGGCCCCAGGGCCTAAACTATAGTGGCTTGAACACACCCTGTATTTAAAGAGCTTTTTTGTTTCTCACCTGTGACTTTGCACACTCAGAGTGTCAAGACCCCCAGCATCACCTCACTAATAATGATGCTGATAGTGCATGCACACATGTTATGTTCTTCATTCACAGGTCACTGAGAGGGATTTAGAAAAACATGGTCATTCCTCTGCTGTAGATAAAGGAATTGTGCAATGAGAGATGTTATTTGGTTTGGCCATGGCAGCAAATAGCCAGCAATAAAAGAGAGCGGTCCCAATTGCTTGTGGGCACTTGGCTCAGCAGCTCACTCGGATCATGAAATCAAAGGTGATTTATTTGCTCAGCACCACAGCAGACACAAAAGGTGCCAATAACCCTGGGAGGAGGCTGAGCATACCTTGTCAGAAGGTGCCACAGAGCACAAGAGGAAAGGCCAGATCTGGTCCAGAACTCACATTCCTGTTGTTTTGAGCACTGGAAGGGAGTTTGCTTTGCGTGTTCTCTTTCATTGTTTGAAGTGAAGAGCTGCCCTGTCCTTATAAGGACAGAAGGAATGTGCATAATTAGTCCAAGGCTAGAGAACAGAGACATTCAAAATGAACATTTGTTATTGATTTCCCAGACTGCAGTGGAACTGGGAAGAATATCATGGGAGGAAAAGATACGTAATTAAATGTGATTTGTTCGAATGCTGCCAAGCTAGGTCATTGCATATGTATCATTTGACTGCAGTGCTTCAACATAAAGTGCTCAGTCCCCCTCCCTGGCACAAAATCCTTTGATGAAGCAGCCTCCCTTCACTGCCTCCCTCACCGGAGGAAGGGGCCAGCCCTTCTGTTGTTTTGCTGCCGGCAGTGTTGCTTGTGCTATTTCTTTAAGACTCCTCATCAGATGTGGTTTGTCAGGAACATGCCCAGACTGTAAGTCAGAACAGAGCTCATTTTCTTTGATGTGCATTTGTAATGTGCCTGCTCCAAAAAGGAGGGGAATGAAAACTTTGGTCACACTGTTTATCTGCAAGAACTACATTTTAAGTAACTGGATGTGAATGGACTATGCACAAGCTGCAGTGTTGGCTACTCCTTTCAAACAGAATTTTATCAATAATTGGTGCCAACACAAGAACATGTGTCAAACACTTAACCACAACCAATTCAGGAGGAATGTGTTTAGTCCAGACCTTCTGCTATAGAAAGACTTTATTTTCAGTTTAGGACCAGAATTTTTCCAAAACAACACAAATAGCTGCCTTAACCTCATTTATTGTTGTATTGTGCTCAAGACCAGCACAGATATGATCAGTTTGGCTCTTTGGCTCTGGTGTTTTGCACTCAAGGTTTCTACCCTCGAGCAAGTGTTTTGCATATGAAAAAAATCTGAAAGTGAAAGGGTTACACTTCCTGGAAGGTCCACTTAAATGGCTGTGAGAAGAGAGCCAAAATGGTAATCACATCCCTATGAGATCATATTGAAAGCAGCCATGCCTATTGCATAGAGCCCTCTGATGTTGCAGGGATCTGTAAAACATTTAATCACTGGAGTTTCAATAAGTTGAGATTTGTTGTGAGTACTGTAGAGAGCACTTGTCTCAGATAAAATGCTGCCTGGTAATGCTCTTACAGCTACATGAGCCAGAATGCAATCGAATATCCATGGTGATTTAGCCTTGCACCGTCATCCCAGAGAAGGGGATGCAGGATTTTCACAGCTACATAGCAGTGGATTAATATAACTATTCATTACAATTCATGGGAGACCTGATCCAGCTTCTGTCAGCAGAAGGAAAGATGCCATTTGATTTTACCGTGAGTTTGGATGGGGTTTTGTGTGTCTAATCCTGTAACTGCCCTCTCTGCCACAGAGGCCCCTCCAGGGCTATTACTCTGCTGCCCAGGTGGCACCTCCACAGCTGCTGCTCTGCCCTTACTGCCCAGTGCAGCCCAGGTGATGCTAATTCTGCCAGGCAGCTAAGCATTGCCACAGAGAGGTTTAATAGCTAAACCTTGTCTACCTTGCTTCTATTTATTCAAGCTTGTGAAGTTCTGACTGACCTAAAATTTAAGTTTGGCATAAACCATGTCAATGCCAGTCTCGGAAAGAAATGAATAATGGAGTTTTGAAGATGGCTCTGCAAAAGCTCACAGATGAGACTGTGTGTGGGTGAAACCCAAGTAGCTCCACTCACAATGAACCTTCTCCTCTGGCCCAGAGTGTCCAGAGAGCCAAGAGACAATCCTCATTAGCTTGCCTTCATTCAACTGCCAGCAATCTCTATCCACTCAAGCTTGCACCAAATAAACCTTTTATTAAGACTATATTTTGAGGAAGCTCTTCTCCACCAATGGCATGGTTTGAAGCTTGATTTGAAAGATGCAGAAACCAAGCTAAAAGTGGGCCAAGGTTTAAGAGCAAACCACTCACACAGTGGGTCTGTCCAAGTGAGCCCTTCTGGTTTCCTGCAAAGATCCAAACCTATAAACTGTCAATGCAACTTGAAATATTGAAGAAATCAGAAAGGTAGTTTGGGCCTCTCAACAAAACAAGCACCTGAGCCCATTTTATTGTAAAGGTTCTGTCTTCACTGCCATTACTGAGCACAGAATGAGCAACAGTGAAAGATGGTTCAGTATATGGTTATATTTTGTCCTTTGTGCCTATACAATCCAAACACACATTAGATGAAAAAATCTACCTGGGCTGCTAGAGCCAAACAAATGAAAAGGATGCCTCTGACCAAAGAGCACTGAGTTTTCAGAGACAGCTCCTGAAATGTGCCAGGTTTGAATGGAAGCCTCAGAGCATCAGTCCTTTCCCCTTGGCTGACAGGGTATTGCAAAAGAACAGAAGAGGTTTTCCAGCAAATATTTTGAGTGTCAGGGGAAAGAAAACTCTCATGAATTAATGTGGATTTTGAGGAGAATGATATTGCCTAAAAATACCATTGTTAGTACAGGCTTTTCTGACAGACTTGGCAGGTTTCTATAGCACCTTCTGACTATATAAAGTTGTGTGTGCGACTTAATCTTTTTATTTCTGCCTTTTGGAGTTTAGTCTCTGTCACCGTTGCCCTCTGAATTCGACTCCTCTGAACCCTCAGTGCTCCTGACACTCATTGTTATTCTGCTCTCTGCTTTCAACAATATTCCAGTGAGATTCCCTTCCTGTCAAAGCACTGACTCAGTCCACCTTAGAAAACTCTAAGGATCTGTTGATCTAAGAGACAAGCGAATATTTCTAGTTTCACTATCATTAATAACTGGCAAAAATGCCAGGATTACAGCCTTTAACAGAAAAAGATATGTTCTCAATGTTATGTATTTCACTTCCAGCAAAAGAAATTTCACATTTTAGTGTTTTGCCGTGCTTGAAAGTTGAACATTTTTAAGAACTGTTTGTCAGCATCACATTCACTTCCCACCTGCTTTGCTGCTACTGCCCAAGTCCCACACCACGGCCCCAATTTCAGGCTGTTGTTTTCAGATGTTGTTGAAAAGAACTCTTTAGAGGCATTAGCCAGGTGAAATCCTGTGTGATGCCTTTGTTTTGCAGGCCAAACACTGAAAGCACACCATCTATAGGCCACACTTCTGCTCCTTTTTTAGTGAGCCCAAAGTAAGGTCTGGTCAAATCACCACAAATATTCTCATGAAGCATTAGCTCATTCTTAAGAAAATATCAACTGCAAGAAGCTCTTTTTGGTTTTGTAAAAGATGTGCAGCAGCAGGCTAGAGATGGGAAGGTAAAAGGTAAGTTCTCATGCAGTTGTGCCAGTTTGAGATGCCCACACCTACCTACAAACTACACCATTTTGGCAGTAGCAACAGCAGTCACTTTTCTGTCATTTTTGGTGTGTTCAGGCATCAGGGAAATTCCCCAGCCTGCAAGGACCTCATTTCCAGGCATGGTTTCAGCCAACCCCAGTACTTAGTGAGCTGCAGCCAGCAGGGCCTGCAGCCCCTGCTCTCCCTGCAGCCCTGCCAGGACCCTCTGACACCCCATATCTTGCTTGACCACGCTCAGTAGCTCCCCAAGAGCAAAAGCAAAGCCTCCCACCCATGCTGAAATTCCACCCCATACTAGAAGACTAAACCAGTCAAAAACAGAAGTAAAAGCCCAAATACTCTGCAGTCAATAAGAGCAAAAATAATCACCAGAATCCCAAGATTCTCCCTCATGTCCAAAGACAGCCTCTGGCTGCTGAGAAGCCTTGGGAAGAAACTTCTCAACACTCAGGAGTTTATCCCACCCCACACACACATGCAGCAGAACTGTGCTGCTATGCTGAAATACCTGCTAGCATTGCCTCTTTGCAATATTTGGTTGCACGGATTTGGGACCTTTATGCTGCATCATGATCTCTGAAAATTTCATAAATGAACCCCTTCATTACTAGCATAATGAACTGATCTCCTGTAGCTGTAAACTCTGGAAACTGGTCCATTTTCTCCATGCTGGCAGATAGCAAGCATCACACAGCAGTGACCCAAACACTTCTGTGAAACCTTCCAGAAAACAAGGGCTATGTTGTATTTTTTGCTTGGCGCTACAGCTCTAGGACATAGTACCACTGTGATATCAGAGTCTCACTTATTTTTCCCCACTTCTGCAATTTTGGGAGAAAACCACCTGTCTTTAAAGACTTATGAAATGCTACCAGACTTTGAATTATTACACACATCCATCTAAAAAAATCATCTACACACTTGTCTCCTTACCAAAGAAGCTCAGAAGCAGACCTTAGACATGTAAACTCCATCAGCCATTCACAAACAAGGAAAAGGGGAAAAAATATCAATCTATTGTAAAGGGCCAATACAGCAAGTAAGACCTGACACTTAACTGCTAAGTGAGGTACTACAGTATCAAACAAAATTATTAAGGACTTAGCTGGGTCTAACAAAACACATGGGCAATTAAGGCTTTTACTGTAAAAGACTAGCAATAGTTTATTTGATTCAGCTCCAGCACAGCAGCCTAACAATGTGTTTGTCTGTTCCAGGGCCTGACAGCTTACAGGACATCAGCTCTCCTGTGCATGAAGATGTGGCTTTGTTCACCCACAGTTCCTTCAAGGAGTCAGCAGCTCATGGGTTGTAGTTAAAAAGTTTGGGTTGAGGACTTAGATCCCAACAACTGAAAAATGGGATCATTAGAAGAATAAATCAGGAACATTTTGGAAAAAAGGTCACAATAAAGAAAGTGCATATATCGCATCATAAGTGGATTGCTGAAGATCAGACATGGCATAGCCAGCAATGAAAAACTCAAGGTTTCAGCTGAGAGATCAAGTCTGGAATTAACATAGAGTTAAATTTAAACTCCAGAGTTCACTGGATGCTGGAGTAAAAGAAAATCCGTCCTATGAATTGAATTGAAGCAGCCTAGAAAGGCAAACTTAAAGCTGACTATTTGTTGCCATCATAT